TACAGTGGTTCTTTCCCCGGGACACGTCGCACAGACCCCCCGCTTCCTGCGAGGCGAACAGGGGCTCTTATCCAGGGGGATCTTGGGCGGGGACTACCTTAGCGGAGGAAAAGTTCTTCCTTCCAGCGATACGTATCTCTCTTTGTGGTAGACGACCTGAAGACAGTCACAATAGGCACGGCACCGAATGTTTGCTCATCTTTACTTCTTCCGAATTCCCGGCAGCTGCTTGTCTCTTCCTGATACCTCGGACTTGGAACTTGGCTTCTTTTCGTGTCGGGTTCCTCGCAGGCTCGCACACATCTCGCATACCTTGCGCTCGCGTGCTTTTCTTGGTGTTTCCTTCCCGTTTGGCAACTGCAACCGCACTTCATTCGCTCTAGTTTGAGGCCGTCGGATCGCACACGGGATCTGCGTCCGCTACTACCTTGGACCCTCGTCTGCCGCCTTCCGCGCAAGGAATGGAACTCCCATTGTCCATTGCTACCGCCCAATTTCTTTGAAATACGACCTTCAGCTTGGACTTACGTTTCCACGGCAGTAAGGCCTGCCGCCTCACGATGGATGCAGAGAGTGCCTTCAGCTTCTTGGGGCGGGCTAGTGCCAGATTGCCATGACGCCTGACGCCTAACATAGGTACAGCAACTACGCAGCAAGGGCCCCTGAGACCTATCGCCTGCTATGTTAATGGCAACGAAAGGCGTGTGCCGGTGTCGGTGTTATTGTCGGCCCTGCCACCCTGCTTACCTGCTTTCCAGTGAGTGCACGGTGCCTCACGATACCCGGCGCCGGCAGCCACATCTCAGCCACTAGTCCGGGTCTAGACCGAGCTAGACCTTAGCTGACCGGGACCTCGATTGGTTACGCCGCATTGGACTGCGGTGTCCTGAGTCAGCTTAGGTAGCTCTGGAGTCTGGGGAGGAGGAGGCAATGGAGGATCCCGTTGGATATTTGCACAAGAAAGATTGCCAAGTCCTTTACACGCCAAAAACAAAACTCTGGACGGAGGTCTTACACCATTACCTTGCGGATTATGCCTGCTTCTTCAAGACCAAGATTGCGACATTGCGACATCCGTGGCAACCTAAATGCAGGAGCGCCCGAAGCAACCCGTCCATGCTCGTTCGCTTAGCCACAAACTCAGCTCTCTCCTCGCAACGATCGTGATTGGCCGGTCGCCATCATCTGGATGCCATGAAGACGCTCGACCGATAGATCGGTAGAGAGAACCCTTCGTGCCTGCCGCGTTCAAGGTTAGCTGCACCATCGAGAACAACACCTTCAGACTCTTGGGACGTTTTACACGGCCGCCATCTCTCGACATAGCGTGCCCGCATGATCACGAAATCTTCAGCCGCCCAGGCAAGGAGTGCTTCGGCCATAGGCTACAGCAGCCATTTTGAGATACTACGAGCCGCCGCTCTTTGCTGGATGAAGGAGGTCCGGCATGCCACGCTTCCAGCTCAAACGGTCAACTGAACCCTAGATCGCGAAATGATGCACGATGCCCACTGCCCGCCCGGGCTCTCTGACACAGACTCAAACCGAGAAACCAAACATTTACGTACTTCCCCCTAGCTCCAAGTGATCATCAGTAATGGCTTCGCCGGAATCCCGGGGGCACAGCGAACTGTGAAGAGAGGAGGGGGAGCACGCCATGAGAAATGAAGGAAGCGGTCTCGGCCGTCATTCCAACTGACAGTGCGGTCGGCCGACTGCCTGCCAAATTCTCGTCTCTATTCCTTCCAAACCACGTTGATTCAGGATCTTTTGCTCTCTTGACGGATCTGACTTGCCAAACCTTCTTTGATTTTTGCCATCTTCTGGTCGTTTTCTGGACGCGAGCGATCACCCGGCCGTAAGCCAAGCCAGGCTACATCATTGTGGCCAAGCGGCTAGATTAACCTTGGGAGAAAGGCAACGACCGGATGAGGCGTGAGATAACCGGTAACAGGTCTCACGTATGCGTCGCGCTTACGCCGGGAAATCACCAGCACCTCGGCGAAGAGAAGCCAGCTCCCTAGAACGGCCATGTTGATTCCATCCCCAGCTTTGTGGTTTAATCAGCGAATTGGTCTTAGTATCTTCAGATCCACACCTCCTGCGCCTCCAGCTTCTTTGTCGACCTGCGGCTCAGAATTTCCATCCCTGTCTATTCCGTCGTTCCGCTGCACCAAAACACTCCCGGTACGGGAAACGCCATCGACACATCCGTTTTTTTCCACCATAGCCTCCCCAAAAGGGCCCAGAGCCAGGGGTCACGGCTCGCTGGGACCGATAGACCACAGACCGGACTGCATGTGCACAGTCGCTCGCAAGCTATCAGGACGTGCTCAGCTGTAGCGCTGTACGCTGTTCGTCAGAGGCGCTCGGGAAAGGGCCCATGCTACAGCCATCACTTGCGGAGCTTTACGTATCGCGGTGTCTTTGTGCTAGATGGTGGACCATAGGTAGGTGGGGAGGGGACCTGCGAGCTAATCTTCAAATCTAGTTGAGCTCGCAAGAATCTTCAGCTGCCATTGACGAAGCTAAAGTGGGAGAGAGAGAAAGGAAAAGCAGGCCTGCCATGCAATATACTCTGCAGTATAGCAAATCCGCTTGATACACCTGGTCGACATGGAGAAATTTTAGGGCCAAACGTTCGTCGATATTCAATGGAGCTGGTTGGCTTATGGGCCGGATCGGCAGCCAGATTCGAGTCCAAATACCCTGTTCCGTTGCAGAGTCGCAGTTAACCTCTGCCTTGCGCCGTTGAGCCATCCAACCAGACAAGGGTACGAGCTCCCCGCTCCTGGTCAAGGACTCGAGCTACTTACGCAGGCGAGCAGTAATAGACTTGTAAGTCTTGCGTAAGGTAGACTTCCCACCCACCCACTACACTACCAAACGACGCTCGGTGAACCGCTCTTCCTGTCGCGGACTCGACCCTGTGGGCTGTGGCAGGCACAAAGATGCAGACCAAAGGCAAGGCCAGCGCAGAGAGGCAGTCAGACAGACCACAGGGCATACGCAGGATAAAGGGCACATTGGATTAGAGTTTCCCTCTCGTAACGATTTGCCCCTCCACCTCGACTCAGTCACCCCCCGGCCCCGTCCCCCGTCCCGTCGCCGTGACATGAGCTTGGCGACGAAACAGCCTTTTTTGCTCTTGTTTCCTGTCGTCACCTTTGTCTGGGGGTGATGCACTGCTAAGGTAGCCAATACCGATACCGTTTCTTCCCTCTCGGGACGCTGCAGAGGAAGTCCTCCGGTAAGGTGTCCTTCTCCCCTTCACTTCAGTTTTTTCGTCCGTTTGGGGCTTGGTTTGTGCACGCCCGGATGGCGGGCATACTGTACGTCTGTCTGTCTCTCACTCACAAATCCTTTAACTCTCCCTTGGCTCCCAGCTCCCAGCCGAGACCACCGTAGCGGGCGTACAGAATCCACGTAGACGCTGTTTTCCAAGGTGTGTGTAGCCAACTGTCTTCAAACCGTTTCTTCTTCGAGCATCTTGAGCTTTTTGGAATACCCTTCCCTGTGGCTTGCACCAGGGGCCACTACTCGAATTACCTTCCGGTACCTACATGGAGCTATCCTCTAGGACATTTTCATTTTTCAACCCCGTCACTTCTTCACGTCCAGTCAAGACTAGTAGGTACTTGAAAGTGGCTTTTTTTTTCGAGTCAACCAGCTGTGACCGGTCTTGGACCATAGACTGGTAGCTTCGTACCAAGCACAGCCAGAGCCAGAAACAACCGCCTTTGATCTTATGCCAAGTGGGCTTGATTTTCTGACTATCACGTATCCAGCTGGATCACTTCGCCGGGTACGTTCCCCTCAAGCTAGCAGAGAGAGGCACACACCCAAAGAGAGAAGAGGGAGGAGAAGGGAAAGAAAGCCACAGGCGGATGAGTCTATTCTTCCCCCTTGCCTCTAGCGTATCGGTCACCCCCCTCCATCCTTGTAGCAGCATTGGGCTTGCTGTCTGCACCTTAGCTGCCCCCATCCCCCTCCCGTCCCTGCACGCACGCTTCGATCACCTGTTGGACGAAACTTAAAGACGGTTGTGTCCCCCTCCCAGACATTGCGAGACCAGGTGTAGCTCGGACATCAAAACCGTCGATCCCTTTCCTCTAGCGTTCCCGGTTCTTGCGATTGCGCTTGGTATATAGTTCTTCTACCCCCATTGGAACACGCTTGCCCGCCCCGGACCCTCCTCTCATGTTCGGAAGATCGTGATCCAACAACCAATATCCGACTCGAAATCGACATCACATTTCCCGGGGACACGATGGCTCCGGCTCCAGAAATGATTACCCGGGCGAATCCCGAGGGCCTACACACATCAGAGCCCATTGGAGGAACGGTGATGAGCGTTATCATCTGCCTGGTCTCGATCAGCATCATCTCCGGATTTTTTGGTTGGTGGCCTACGGATCACAAATTTGGTGGAGCGGCATACTTACGAGGAATGAACAGTTCAAAGAGGCACAGTATTGAGAAACTGGAGGAGGATACCTTTCGTGGTCTGGCGTGAGTATTTGTGTCTGGTGGTTGGCGGATATCGGTGTAATGCTAACAAAATCGCAGTCGTGCTCGCCGTTTATATCGATTCGTACCTCTTCGTCTTCGTCACAGCGGTTCTGCAATTCGCTCTCGGTGTCAACAAGAATGTACAGATTTGCGACGGTGCAATTCTGTTATGCCTCGTTTGCTACCTATCGACAAAAGTCTTGATCTATCTCTTCCTTGTCGAGAAAGCAGTGCGTATATTGAATCCACGAGGCGAAAGAAAGCTTCATAACTAACGCCCAAAAAGCACATTATCAGAGGAGCAACGAAACCGAGGCTGCAGTCCAAGCTTTACCTGTTCAACTCGTTTGGCATGCTTGGCGTCTACGCAGTCATTGCTATTCTCAACTTTATCTTGTAAGCCCATTCGAATCACTAGTAGTAAAGACCACCACTGACACCAGAATAGCCGAATTACACGAATTGATGATGGACAATGCTACATCGGAATGCAAAAGGTCTCGATGATTCCACTCATCTCCTTCGACGCCGTCGTCAACGTTTATCTTACCATTCTCTTCCTCATTCCTCTCAAGAGTAAGGCCAGCCAGGCATTCCAGCAAGCCAGTCAGGCAACAACGAAACTAACTCGTTGCAGGTCTATACTCCTTCAAGAATTTCCCCAAAACAACTGCAAACATCCGACTTAGAAGTGTCGCCCTCCGCACCTTTGTTGGTGCTCTGTGCACGCTCACCAGTAGCATTGTGTAAGTTGAGCACACCTTTAATTTAAGCTCAAGGTTTCTGACTCGCTACAGTAACTTGACTGTACTCATGGCCCTCAACGGTGAGCCCGGTTGGGTCTGCCTTATGTGCTGCAACAGCGACAGTATGTCTACCACCATCTCACTTTGTTCTTGCGGGCATAGCTGACCCCCCCCCCCCTAGTCCTTTTCTCTGCCATTGTTGTACAGTGGGTTACTTCGAAGGATAACCAAGCTACCATCGGCTCGTCGAGCGGTAACTCCCGAGGTGAAGACTTCCGCCGTCCGGACGGCGCTCCCTACTCGCCCCACATCGCACCGAGCCAGAAGCACGTCATGGGCGATGTTGGCGAGATTTCGCTGGACAGCCGACGCTCCAACTCTGCCACCAGCGACGACAAGATTTCGTCAGAGGGAGAACGTACGCGCAGGACATCATCGGCCGGGTCGGTGCCTGCGAGCGGCGTCTACGTGACAACCACGATCAAGCGAGAGTCGAAGCCGACACCGGCCGTTTTCGAGGAGATGGATATTGAAGAAGGCTATGCCGAGTCTAACAGGTCAACTCGGCCGATCAGCGGACGCGATTCGGACTTTGACAAATACGCCGCTGGCTCACGAACGAAGATCACGGCCGGAAAGCGCTAATGACAGGAGGGGGTTTTCACTTTCAAAGGGCGAAACCGACTGCATTCTTCTAGGCGGCATCACTTTCCATTCCGACCTTGCGGCGCGATTAGGGGGAAAAACCTCATGAACAACATCGTTGGGGCGTAACTACGGCTTTGCTATTCTGGGTTCAGACTGCCCCCTCGGGGGGTTTCAGGCCGTTTTTTCAATGCTCTTTTCATTGTCTTTTCTTGATATCATACCACGATGGGCACCATCGGGAGGGCAACCTTTGTCAAATTTCTCACCTTTACACACTTATATACACATCACGGCCTATGGGTAGGCGGTACACGGATTTTGGTCTACACATACCTCACGGACGAGCGGTTACTTCATGACGGGAACTGGCAGAGGTTCACATACAGGATTGAACGGTCTTCGGTGGTGGGAAGCATGATACTAGTCATGAGTTTTTGGGTCATTCTTGCATCAAAGAGACGGATATATCACAGGATTCAGGATAGGATAAAAAATCAACAGGTGTTCATATTCCCATGTCTTCGAATGAAAAAATCGGCAGGTCTCGCGCGGAAACAGCCGTGGGCCATGTTGCAGTTGTCATAGTCACAGACAGCCTCAGAACATGGCGACTTCCAAATGGACAATACTTTTGATGATCTCGTACCCATGACTTGTATTTTGCCCGTGAGCCCATTCCCCTCTCGCGACTCTCTTGAGTAAAATCCCATCTTCAGGTGAATGGACATCTGCCGTCCTGATGTGATTTGCCAACAAACCGAACGATGGTGGCAAGGGGTAGATTAGAGGTGGGGGAGGGGAAGCACGACATTCGCCGGCTACAGAGGTGGAGGAATCTGGATGGTAGAGCTAAGGCACGACTTGCAGATCCGCCACCGCTCAACCCCCGTGTCTGCCACGTTGTTCTCGACACGATCTGGGACTTGGATGGATGGATGGATGGATGGGTTGGGCTGACGTGGATTGATTGGAGTGATTGAGTGTGTGTGCGTGTGTGCTATCTCTTCTTCAAAGGTAGGTATCCGTACACACCGCCAAATCTGCCGAACAGGCTTCTACGGCCATTCTAGCGAGAACCTTGGGTATGGATTGGTTTTGGGCAGAGTTGAAAGTTGCGACCAACCAAATTTTTCAGTCCGAGATACCTGACCGCCATGTGTTTTGTGTCACACAAGGCCGCCCCGAGGGGAAGGATTTCCCAAGCGCCCCAACGCAAGACGCAAAGAAACGAGAAAGAAGGAAAATCCCGAGTGTACGGGCGTCGGATGTGTCGCCTCTTTGATCCCACGTGGGTTTCGTCCTGGCGAAGCTGTGCTCTTCTTTTCATGTGGTTGGATGAGAGGGGATGATGGTGTGCGGCGTCCTGGTTTCCCTTCGTGTGAGGGCGCAAAGAAGAAAATTACACCATGTGGTTGGACTGTTAGGACTTCGGAGTCTCACTCCCGTTTGACGCCCTTCCTACCCTATTCCCTTGTTCAAGAGAGACGTTTCTTCATGCGCGCGTGCATTTGTGGTTTCTGGGGGGTGGTGGAGGGAGAGCTGAGCTTGGCTTGGCTTTTGGGGACTCCGCGACACGTGGGAGTTTCCTCGGTCGTTCCCGTCGCCTCTCCCCCTCCATCTTTGACATGTTTGAGAAGAGCGCTGAGACTCTCGGGATTCCATCAAAAAGATTGGGCTGGATGCGCAGGCAAACAAGAGCAAGGACTAAAGCTCCAAAACACGGGTTTTCGCGCGCTCTACTGGCCCGATTCGAGCAAGTAAGATACCAAACGGCCGCTGGTGGTCGTCGTCTAGACCGACCTGTACCAAATATCATGTTCCCTTTAGACTATAATCGAGATCTTTGTTTGGTGACAGGGCCCCATAAGTCATGTTAAACTACGACTCCAGCAAACAGACCGGGAAGGCTTGTAGTCTCCCCGGTCTTGGCTTTTTCCCGCTGTTTCTCAACCATGGAGCGGCCCCTCTTCCATCACCATTCTGTACGGACGACCTCTTTAGTCGCAGGATGGGGTTTCCTGTTAAAGAAAATGGGGGTCTTGCGGTGGAGGCATCATCCATGGTCCAAAGTAAAAAGAATATCCTCGGAGCATGCTGCTTTGGACAGAACAAGAAGCTGCAGCAGCTATTCCCTTCCTTCGAGTCAATAAATGTCAATAAAGTTGACTTCCTGACTCTGGGTGATGGGATTTGGAAGGCTGCTGTTCCTTGTCCCATGCACCATGGTCCGAATAGAAGAAACCTTACAGCCATGGCGCACCCTGCCTTGCCTGCTTAAGCTCTCCCCGGAGTTCTACTCCGTTACTACCCTAATATGACAGCCAGAACGCAAGAGGCACCGTCTGTCCCTCGCGGATGTACAGATTGTATGATTTAGACTCCTGGGCCGCACAAGTTTCTCGGGCTTTGGTTACCGCTGTCCAGCATAACGTGGCAAAGGTTCCTGGCAGTAATCAAGGGAGCAGACGCCAGAAGGGAACGTGCTTTTCCCGTTCGCGTTTCTGTGAACATGCTTGTGTCTCAAAGTCTTGGTACGGCCAAGTGCTTGCATAGCATCACAAGGTTAAAGGACAAAGGGAAGAGATGAGATGGATTTGCCTACCATAGTAGGCAGGTTTTGCAAGTGCGAGGGGGCCTGCAAGCATTTTTGTTTCCGCGTGTTGGATCTTTCGCCTAATCTTCGCAGATTCTTTTGACTTGCCTACGCCCGCAGCGCTGGTTTATATTCGACGATTCGGTTTGCGTCTTTACAAAGCCACCTCGGACTCTGTATCCGAAGCACGAATAGTAGGATTCGCTTGACTCGTTGGACAAACTTCGTGGCATCCACGGAATATGTAAAGATAGAGTTCTTGGTTTAGGATCTCATGGTCCATCGTCGAGAAGGGTGAACATGAAGAAATACAGTTGCCTTCACTTTCTTCCGTGGAAAGTTTCTCCTATTCTCCTCTTCTGCTTCATGGTCACTGCGTTCCTTGGATTTTTCGTTGGGCAGTGGTTTTGAGAGGCCCCAACTACGATATCTCAATCTCAGGTTTGAATACATACGCATGTGAAAAGGCAAGCTACGTACGGTAGGCAGCTTTGGGGTGAACGGATGTGGGGCCGCAGCACGAGACGAGTGCGAGAGGGAGCGGAGCATCGGAGAAACTAAAGATGGGACAGAGTTGAGAAGTGCATGGGATGGCGCTCCAGCAAGCATCTCGTATCTCGGAAGACTCTTATACACGGTATCACGTAGTACAAACCTCCAAATGGAGTAAGTCGATGGAACACAACGCGGAATCGTTTGAGGCTGACCGTACCCTGGCCCTGCCCAGGACTGATAGAGTCGACAACCCGAGATTCCTTCCTGGCGGGTGGTGGGGTTGCTAGCAGAAGATGCGGGCAAAGAGATGGAAGGACCAGACCCTTTGTTCACGTAAGACGGTAGAGATGGAGGGGAGGCGCAAGCGAAAGGTGAGATTGTGGGATAAAAGATCTCAGATATCGAGAAAGGGAAAGGTCAGATCTACGCGACGCAACCTTCCTTGTATGTACATGCTGCTAGACTAATGTAGACCGCTTCGACCACGTGTACAGTTGCATACAACCATTCAGAGATCGAGATCCGTTGTCTCGCGTTCCGCGGGAGCTAATTGACTGGTTGAAGAGTGAGGGGCAAAGTAAAAAGTCCCCCTCCATGAGATGGGTGCGACGAACCCACTATCATATTTCGCTAACGATGCATTGAAGTAGCTCTGGGAAATCATACACCATGAAGCACGAACTTATAAAGAATATGAGAAAGAGAATATAGGTATTGGCATAAGAACATCACGAGATACGGCGGCAAACCGGCTGCAACTGCAGCTAGTTGATAAGGATACGTCAGGTCAGCTAACTATGACATGTGTAAGGTAACCCTTCCACGCGGCATCTCCATCACCTCATACACATGCAAGCGCTGAGGCCATCATATTCCCGTCTCATTGGACCTTCCTCAACTCTAATACTAGCACCGAGAAACCCAATTTTTGAGGTAATTAGTATCACATCTGCACAATCCGTATCTAGGCACACCAAAGCCCACCTGCTAGGTGCATCTTGCCCTCTCATCCGTCCTACCGCTAAGACTGCCATGTTAACCTGCGGCCTGTCCTTTTCCGTGTTCAATATTCATAGCTCAACGGTCACAATGAGGATGAAGACGGAAGTTCCTCATCCAGACTCCACTTTGCACTGCCGGGTCTATCCCCACATCACGGAGAGGACCGAGAGACGGATATCCACCATGAAGCCGGCTCGGTTCGGGTGTAACCAAAGGTATCCGCACCCGGCCCCCGCAATGGCTCAGCCTCTTTCATTTGTCGAGCAGCGTATCCGTACCCTTAAGCTTCACTCGAGCAAAGGTCTAAGCAAACGGTCAAGAAACGGTGTTTTGGCGTAACCTGTTTAACCTCTACGAGTCATGCCAGATGGGATACCACTTACACCATCACTTCCCTCATCATCTCTCATCCCATCTCGCCATAGGTCCAATCCCCCCTCAAATCCTTTTTATCATGATTACTTTCAGATTTGCTCCGACAGCCAGCCCAACCCTAAGCTCTTAAACCCAGGCCAACCCGTGAACCATATCCCGACCCCGACGCAACTCTACCGCAAAACGAGACTGGGCTTCCTTGCGCTCTCGTCCTTGGACTGATTCTGACATCACAAGAGCAAGGGTTTGGCTTTCTGCTGTTTTGCCTTGATCTGATGATTGGATCGTAATTTGCCCGTCCGGATGCCGAAGCCGGGGGAGACATTCTATTCTCCTATGATGTGTCCCCAGAAGCTATGATGCGCGTTTTGGGCAGTTTTTCTCCCACAAGCTTTAAAAAGAATCTCCACCAATCCCTTGGTATCCTGGGGTGGGAGAGGGTTTCTAGCAAGGGTGAGTATAGTGGTATACTAATCTCCTACGGATACTGTTTTCCATGAAGCCCTTGCGCCCGTGATCTCGTGCTCTTTCC